GGATGCGGTTTTAAGAGGAGACTTTTATGCGTTCCCTCGGTTGACGTATAGAAAGTCGTATGATGTAGCACTTATGTAATAGATTGTAGTTAAGATACAGCAGAGATAGATTTTACTTCTGACGAAGTTCAATTTGAAGTGAATCCAATTCGAGTTACAGTTAGATACCGGGTGTTGTTAAGTAAGAATTATGTATCACTTTTCTGGCTTTCTCGACTGATACGGTTTTAAGGTTACACGAGTTTCAGGCAGATTTAAGGTTAGGTTTATATTCTTTCAATCTATCGTAAGAAAGTATTGAATTTGAGAGTTCCACAGGCTCTCACAGCCCACGATTCAGAGATGTAGGATCTCATAACATACTAAACTAATTCAGACGTGGGGCACAGTTGACTCTCGGAACTATCGCTAAGCAAGGGATTAACACGTTGAATGTCGCATCAATTTCACGTGACTTTCAATTCAAGCCGCGTGAGCCACCGATGGGCCACGTTATTACGTTCGTTATAGATGAATTCAAAGATTTGCTAGCGAACTGAAAACGTATCGCTGCGTCGCATGGGTCACCGGTACGATGATTGCACTGTACACGAGAATTGTGTACCAATTATACGATATTACGAAACATTTCACGATAACGTGTGGCCTGACCGGAAAGTTCAGCGTGGGTCACCGATGGCCCACGCGGCGCTTAACGTGTTAAGTGTAGAATAAAGTTTCCAGAAGGCGTCGAACACTTTTATCGAGCGCGTAATTTCTTCTTAACCGTGTATGATTCACTCGGCGGTGAAGCAACGAAATTGGAATAGTGCGTCTTATTTTATTCTATTTTTCTTTTTTTTTTTTGCCGAAGAAGTAGACTACTTTTACTACTGGTTACCATTACTTTACTTATGGCACTCGTAATGCAAATAGGTTCAACACGTTTCTACAAACTGACTCATGTATGCGCTTTCCTTTTTCACTTCCCTGGTACGCAGTTTCGATATTTTTATTGTAACTTTATGTAACCCCTTCCACCGGCGAGGCTCTTTAATTTATACATTGTGCAACGTGCTGTTTTGATCTCGAAACAATGTTCTCTGGCCCGCATATCGAGCGTGCCGTAAAACGAGTGAACAACTTTAAGATTGCCCGATTGCAACGTGGGACATAATACAATCAAACAGCTACGTGTCGCGTCGGTATTTAAGTTGACACCTTGAATCTTTTCCTTTTTTAATACCCGCTACTATAATTTCTGCCTTCGACGTATAGCGTTGTAATAACAGCAATTATGTCGTTACTCGTAATAGCAACGAAATATTAGCAGAAGTTACGTTAATTCTAGCTGTATTTACAAAACTATGTGGTTAACAGTTTTTTTTAGTAGTTCTGTGCTTCTATTACCTCCAGTAGGTAATGAAAACGAAGATATAAATAATTGAAGCCAAACAAAAATTAGTGAAAATCAGAAGTACCTCTGCAATTTATAATAATCGAATTATTTTACACCAACAAAAATATTTTCTACTTCTTCAGATGTTCGATACAATATCCGGAAAGTTTCAAAAATACCTATGCGACGGTTTCTTAAGAAAAAATTCACAAAGATCACCTTATTTTTAGCGAGTTATACGACACGAGTGTGCTTGAACATTTAATCAATTCAACAGTATCTAGACATAAAATAAAGTAAAATAACAAATAACAAGTTACTCGACATTACTCAGTAACTCGAGCACTAAAGTGCAACTTCTAATAATTGATGCTCCAAACAACGGTGCTTGAAAATTTCTGTACACAAAGTAGGTATATATATATGAAACATCGTGTTCGAAGGGGCATTTTACGAACGAAAGTTTCATCGATTTACAGTTCTCTCTCTCTCTGTCTCTTTGCATAATGCATAGAAAAAAAAAAGTTGTATTCCCCTCCTGGAATCATGGCCGACACGGTTTTACAGTCACGATTACGTCTCCTCTGGTTCTTACCTCATCGCGGAAGTCGCGATACCAATCTACCTTACGATTTGTCGCGATCGTCTTTAGATAGCGGGTTTCCTGTACGTTCCGATGCCGCTTCTCGCTTACGCGTAAGTGAATCAAGGTTACACCGATCTAAACGCGATTAAACGACACTCTGGAACCGAGGCGTCCCTTTGTGGCTGTTATTCCTTGGTCGAGTGGAATTTCGTTGGCCAATATCGTGAGGGAACCTTGGGAACACCCAAGCTCTTTGTCTAGGAAAGTTCGGTGGAAACGTCCGGTTGAGATTAATCGGTAATGCGAGATATGAACCCTTTAAATCGTTCGTGTCCCGTGCATCGTTAATAGGTAGGGAATTCAATACGTAAACTGGATCTAACTCGTGACGTGTACAGTTATTACCGCATCGGTCTCGTTAACGTCGTGCAATAAAATCCATAAATAACGGCAAGATTGCGAAAAGGTTAAGTAAGGAAGGCTGAATCGTTGCAGCTTTATTCATGCTTTAATTAGAGACCATGGATGCTTACGTAGACTTTATATATCCGTAAGTAGATCGAAGAAGAATTGGAAAAGTGAGATATGTGTAAAAATATCCATTCACGTTTAAGATGTTAAAGAGTGCGAACACCCCTCCGCGCAACATCCGCAGTCAGAGCATGCTCTATATACACACCGCTATGCACCCCCGGAACTCTCTATTCTCTCCGATAAATTTGAAGAACGCAGAAACCCGGTTCTAAATATAGCGAACACAAGCTCCAAAAGGAACAAGCTCTCGCGCCCGCCCTATCTTTAACATCCGCAGTGGTTTTCGTATACGTATAACGCGACGCGCTTTCCTCGGTTCTCGTCCAAATGGAACGACCTTTTTCTCTTCCCCTCTCGGTCGAGAGACACGAGATCTCGCGGGAGAGACGAGTGGCTCCCGATAACTTCCCTTATCAGCGTTGGTCGGAGGAAAGCAAGCGTAAGTGCTGGAGGAAAAAGAAAAGGTAAAAAAAGAGAAGGAAAAAAGTAGTACGTCGGGCGGCCGCGACACGTCGAGGTCTCGCGTCCTTGCCAGTTACCCCTCTCATGGTTCGCGGAGTGGGATCTTCCCCCACCTCTCGCGGCGCTCGTCGGTGGCTCCCCCTACTCCCCTTCCTCCCCGCTCCGCTCTTCGTCTACAGCGGTATGTAAGAGGCCGCACATGTTTCCCCGCGTTCCAGTCTCGCAGCGGCACTCGCGAGTGACTGTTCGTGCGGATTCGCGCAACGGGCAAACTGTTCGACTGAAAAAACGTTCGCTGACGGAACGAAGGACATTACAGGGGCACGCGTGTTGTACATAATACATTAACGCGCGCGCGCAAAGGACGAGTTCTTTCCTCAGTGCTTCGTTCGAGAACTGACACGACACACCGCGAACGTCGTTGCAGCGAGCAACACAGAGACGACATACAGAGGAGAAGATAGGTGAAGAAAGGAGGTTGGAGCAGTACGATATATAACCCCGAAGACTGCTCGAATTGTTACGTGTTATAATTCCCTTTCTTCCGAATCTCCGCGTCTTTCTTTTTTTACTTTTATACGTATAACGTGTACCACGTTGGCGAATACCAGCCCGAGACACACATAACCTCATTTCCCGACGTAACACCGGATCAGTAGTGAGAATCGATTTGCGCGAGTGACAGCTTGTTCTTTTTTGGAGCGTACAAATTGATCGTTTGAAAAGAGTGTGACAGAAGGGAATATTCGGTGGCGTACCTTGCAGGAAGACGGAGCACTGTGAGAGAGAGAGAGGAGAAGAAGTGTGGTTACGGGTCGACAAGGATATTCCGAGGGTGTTACGGAGACTAGTGATCTTCCACTGACGTCACTATCGTGCTTCGTTCGACGAGGGACGAGAATAGTGTTCCTCACTGGCCACGACAAACACACGTGAGTATCGACACTACTTCGACTTAAAAATTCGACACCGCACTAGACCATTTCGCGAGCGTGCTCGCTACGCGGAACCGTGAACTCGCGTTGACACTCCGTCTTTTTCGAGTTTACGTTCTTCCATCGTTCGCTGTGTACACACGCGTCACACGCGGCTGGATAATTTATGCGCGGGACACGTCGCGAGAGGCGAATTTCTGTAACGTGTCACGCGAGCCGAACGCACCTTCCGATTCGCACCGGTTAGGAAGGGCATTTGGCGCGTTCGCGACGCAATACTCTCACCTGATTCGTCAATTTCGCAATCATGGCGCTCGATATATCGAATCGATATATCTAGCGTATGAAGTCGCGCTGGAACGAGTCGTCGTCGCGTCACGTGTTCTATTTCGCCTCGACGTGTTTCAACGTGTTTCAACGTGTTTCAACGTGTTTCAACGTGTTTCAACGTGTCTCCGTCCTTCGAATCGATGGAGAAAAAAAGAAAGAAAAACAGTTTTGCAACAGTGATGTACCCTTAAAGCAGTGTAATCTAGAATCGTTCGAAAGGCGTGAAATACGTGTGTCAGTGACATGTTGGGCAGAAAATCGAGCCTATAGGGTATATTTACAAGTGAGATTATCGATCGAGTGGGTGCCGAAGTGGAGCTTTCGCGGTAGAAGAGAGGTGTCACAGCGTTGTCGCATATCGAAGGTCGCGGATTCGTTGACATGTTCTGTTCAGTGGAATGCAGCAGCCTCGTCTAAAAGGTAAACGGATCCGCCGTTGATTCGTTTCTATTATATCGATCGTGTGTAGTAGAGAATCGTGCGCTGGTTACCAGTCGATGCGCGTGGTGTTTCGTTTTTCTTCAAGGTCGCCGAGCGATCTGGAGCGTTCGCGATGACTCAGTCTCTCGGTGTTACATCAAATAAACACGCCTATTACGAGAAATTACGTTAAGGTCGCTACCGCC